TGCTCGCACGTCACAATGAATTTTCGGGCTGGCTAGCCCGTAGAGGGGACGTACTCGCATGAACATCATCGGCGAGAAACCTCTTTGAGACACGGTGGTGGTTAACGAGGTGACGAGTCATGTCACACACACCATCGAAGAGCGCGAGTCCAGCCGGCAGCCGGGGTAGCCCTAGCAGCCCGAGCACGCCACGTGGAGGCCGTCTCCGCGATAGGGTCAACTTCTTCATCGAGCTGTTCGAGGATAAGGAGGCTAGACGAAATGCCGGACAATTTAGATCGCCGACGAATCCCAGACCTTCGTCCGGACCTTCTTCGCGACCATCCTCCAGAGCCAGCGATTCGTCGTTCGAGGAGAGCTTCGAACGATTGGTGGAAGAAGGTGAATTGAACGGTTCGAAGGTGGTCAAATTTGAGAAGATCACGATGCGAAAGAGCGTGAAAGAGATCGGCAGCGGTGTGTCTAGCTCGCAACAACGAGCTTTACTCGCGGAATCGAGCAGAACACCGAGCGAGGAACACGCCCTCGAGGACTCGGCTTATCAGAGTCATAGCCACGGTGCTCCGAATTATGGGAGTAAATCCAGCTCGGTCACGTCGTTCACGAGATTTCCATCCGAAGAGAGTTTGTCGCATAAGAAGGGCAGTAGCCCTCAGCATCATCTGGGTCTGGACGATCGAACGCCGTCCGAGTGGTACGCGGAATATCGTACTCAGAGCTTCCAGAACGTCGCCACCAGGATCGAATATGTGCGCAGTAAGAGCGAGTACGATGCACACATCGCCGAAATTAAAGGTATTCCTTTTTGTTTCTTCGATCCGCTCTTTGTTCTTGCTGACTCCGATCGGGAAAGAGGGTGTTGCCGGTGTTCACACACCAACAGGGTGTGTTTGATTTCGGATGCGATTGAATATCGGTTTTTAACCTTTCAATGATTTTCTTACATCTTGTAATTATTTTCGAATAGAGGAACTGTTTCATAGTTCTTGTAAGAATTAGATATGTATTTGGTTGGAATTTCAGTTACTATAAGGAGAATCTTCGAACAATCTGCATCAGGATCGTATCATGGAAGAAAGATATTCCTGATATTGTGAAAAGTATTCCACAGATACCGATTTGGTAGGCGCTGGTTCTAGAATTTAATCGATTCTTGTCTTAAATTAGTCGTAGACAAAGTAAAAATGAATTTTCTTAGTATAAGGTCAAGGATAGCGGAATTATTCCAGATATCGTGGTATTTCGTACGTTCTAGAGAAATAAAAACAGACGCTCTTATCGAATTTACGTAACTCTGTGATTCTCTGTTCCGTTAAATATGATATGTCATTGTCATTTGTACAATGCAAATTGTTGTAATAATGAAACTCGTGCTACGCGTGTTTTCGAGTTTCTTCGTAAGAACTCCCACGAATCGCTTTGATTCGGTGGAAGAACAACTTCCACCACCTCTCCACCAACTTTACGAGCCACTGTCGCGACTGCAAAGAACTCCGACTTTGTCTAGCTCGGTGTTAGCACCGGTCAATACTAGGAACGTTGCATCAGATAACAGCAACAATAGGGAAAAGATGATAAGATTTCTTAAAAGGGTATAAATATATAAAGATCGAGGTTCTTACGTTTTCTTACACATTCCTAGTATAATTATCCGTCGTTTGTTCTTCGTTTTGTCTTATTATTCGATAAATTATCCTTCGTTTAATTGGCCGTTGATTCAATTGATCAACGACTTCTTCGAGGTCCACGATCGATCTATTTACACTTAAATGGGTTTTGTCGGTTCTCCGATAGTTGAACGCTACGGTTGATACCTTCCGGTGACGATGATCGATCGCCCGTCGTGGAAATTAAAATAAAATTACGCATTGACCTAGATTCACCGACGACACACGATGGCGATTCATTACTCGTTAGTCTGAAAGGACGCCCTAGGTCCTTTTTATTCTTTCTCACGTTGACAATCCACGGTTACCAGGCGTGCGGCAATAAAAATCGATGAATCTCCTTGTTACAACTTTATTCGATTGAATTTTATCGGGCCTTTGTATGTATGAAATCGGTTTAATTCGTATCTGGCTGGAATCAAGTTGTCGTCAAGACACGTGTTTCTCTGTGTAGCTAATCGATTTAAGCCAAGTCCTAATTATCAAGATACATATGGTAGCTTAATTAGAACATGAAACAATCTTAAGCCAAATCAAATTTTTGTAATCGATATACGTGACTCGCCCCTAAGTGAATATAAACTTTTACCGTACGTACTCGACCACTTTAATTCGAATTTAATTCGATACTAACCCAAACTCAATTTTTCCAATGAAAGTACAATGCTTAATCCAAATCTGATACAATTTGAATCTCTTTCATAAAGCTACGTTTTCTGGTATCTTTCCCAAAGGTACCTTCAAACGCGAAGAATTCATTGTGGCTCGCGTTAGATAATATTTATCTGTTAAATTGCATAATACCAATCGATGTTACTGTAATACCATAACACCTACGGAAATAGATCAATGTTACCATAATACCCGCTGAATCCTATCGAAATCAGTTTACTTCGTATTATCTCAAATTTGCATCATTCCCCTCAATGTAGAACATTTTCTTACTGTCCATTGTTTTAGATAATGTCACGTAATCAAAATTTCCAATTAAGCGTGTTACGCGCCGATATTTCGACATGAAAAATAAAATTCCAATCTCTCGAGTCCTAATTTCTTTCCATCGTCTCCCCCGTTTTCAAATCGCGTCGGAGTTTCTCGCTTAACAGAAAGGAAGGGACGCGGACGAAGAACCTGGCTTTCTCAGCGATCAATAAGTTATTCGCGGCCGTTAAGTACCATATTAGCAATTCCCTCATGGGGACCTCGTGGTACTTTTCTTGGTGGCGACGCACGTTCGCGACCAACCGGATCGACTCTTACGAAACCGTGGCGAACACGGAACGACGTCCTCGTCGTCGCAAGAACTTGAAATAATCAGCGAGGATTAGATAAGGGAAAGACGTTCTTAACTGGTTTTAAGTCTAAAATAGATAACGCGGAATGCAGTCATAAGGGTCAGACCTGGTTAAACCAGTCGTTCGAAACTCGACGTAAGGATAAAGGTCTGATACGTCGTTGCCATTTTCCGGTGATGCGGTATTTTGCAATTTGGAAAATTTATATTTGTGGTATTAAAACTACTGGATTTGTCGATATGACGAATTTTTTATTCTTTATAGAAATTTGATAGATTTACATTTTTCATCTGAATTGCTGGTTAAATGTTTTGGAAGTTACATCGTTCGCCTGCATTGGGCTTCGTGTCGCGTAAATCTTTATCTTCTGTGTTTCTTGATTGTCATCGTTGATCGATAACGTTAATTTGCGGTTTACGCTCGATAACGTTGATTTGCGGTTTACGCTCGATAATCGCATTGCCCACGCTCAACACTTTGCACTACGTGGGATAAACCGGAAAGATCGGTTGTCGACAAGTCGACAATATTTTCATGGCCACGGTCGACATCGCCGGTGTTCAAAATACGTAATATGTAGAATACGAACAATACGAGCTATTTCGCTGTAATTTTCCCACACTACATATTCATTATTCGAATAAAGTGTCTAAAAACTCCTTCTAAAACGACAGGTAAAGAATAGGATGTCTGCGATTCAAACATTAAAACTAAACGATTGAAGTATAAAACCTGTCCAAAATGGAAGCTCTTAGCTATATATTTTAGAAAAAATCGTATCCATCAAATATATCCTTTGAATTTTATGAAATCGTTAACGATTGAAAAATCCCTCAAAATTTATATCTATAAAATTTCTATGAAAAAGTAGGAATCTTTTTAATTTTATGAAATCGTTAACGATTGAAAAATTCCTCAAAATTTATATCTATAAAATTTCTATGAAAAAGTACGAATCTTTTTAATTTCATGAAATCGTTAACGATTGAAAAATCGCTCAAAATTTATATCTATAAAATTTCTATGAAAAAGTACGAATCTTTTTAATTTCATGAAATCGTTAACGATTGAAAAATCGCTCAAAATTTATATCTATAAAATTTCTATGAAAAAGTACGAATCGGTCGTTTTGACGATGCTGCTGGCATAAATGCCAATCGATATCAACAAAATTAATAAAACTAGTCAAACATCGTTCCGGTGATTCGAAAACGAAAGTCAAATTCGAGATCCTGTACAAAGGTTGAATATTAAAAAACCGCAAAATGTTTGCGGTCGTGGTATCGAATAGCCATTGATTGGTTGTGCTTCGTTTACGAGACGCTGGTCGTTATCTTGACCTAACAAGCTTCGTTTTATTTGCATTCGTGAGCAATAGACCGGTTCGTTGCCCTGTTTCTCGATCAACCAGAAAACGATTCACATATGGCGACTATCGCGACTAACGTTTACCGGTATCGGTGCCAAAATGTATCCGTGTCTCTTCAAATTTTCGTTAACTTTGCTTTGCTTATTCGCGTCTGATTCGGCTACTAAACACCTTGCGTCTAAACTTTCCTGATAACTTTGCTCTACTTTTTCCTCGTTTTTCTCAAGCAGAACATTCAGGCATGCTAAATTACTTTTTTACAACTTTCTTGCCCGTCTACTCAACTTTAATTCACACTCGTCGACATTTTCATTTAGGTATCGCCGTTTTCACTCCCAGCTACGTGCTATCATATTCAGCGAAACATTCAGATTGTCATAATCTGCACAGTCATCTTTTAAACCATTTTTTATTCGACAGAAAATATTCGAAATTTGATATGAAACGGATTGAACATTTTCAAACTTCCTGTGATATGCAGTCACTTTTAAAACATTCCGTTTTATAAATGGCACATTAAGAAAAACTTATCGAGATTAAAAAATTATTGTTGAAATAAAGTACGCGATATAACTGTATGCGATATATTTATTTGCTAACGGAGATAATCTTTTCGTAAGGTGCACGAAGATTTCTACATCCATCAAAGATCTCTTTAATGTTATCCATGCGTTATTTAAAATAAATTTTCTAAATCAATAAAATAAAGAATTACGTTAATACGAGCTTAATAGAAATTATCTCCTTATCGGGTTCAGCCTTCGGTTAAGAACAAAATTTTCCTCGTCCAGCTAATGTAATATAAATAGTCGGCGATATTTGCACGTGGCAGAAGTACAGAGAGCGCGAAAACAGCGGGACAGTGTTCGATTTAATTGAACATAGTCTTCCTTGATCGGGAGGACGGAATCGAATCGTCGGCGTTCAGATAACGCGAACAGCGGCCACGTTAAGAAAAGAACGGCGGTGAGAGCGAGGTCAAGGTCTCCTGCGGTTCTCCGGTCCCCTAACTTATTAAATCCTTACGTCACCACACGTTGGCCAACGTACGAATCGGACGTTCATCGAATAGGCCTTCGAGTAATCGGAATCTCAGTCTCGTCTTTTGTTGGAATTCGTAGGTATCGCGTGGCTCACTTGACTAAGCGTTTTAAAAAGAAAAAATATGTTGCGTCAGCATCTACGATATTACGCTGACAAACGATCGTCGTTATGCGACACCCGAGTCTTGATATACGAATTTCGTAGGAAGAATCGAGGAAAAGAAGGTCGAGGAAAACACGTCTGTTTTTGAGAATTTTTTAGAATCAGTGGAGTTCTGCCTACGGTTTGTAATGTACAGATGAGTAGATTCAGCGACAGTAGTGGGACCAACCGGTCATTCGGGCAATAATTAAAACGCCAACTTTATTTTTTTTTTATTTTTATGATTTTACGTTATTTAGAGGTGAATAAAATTAAAGT